TTTCGCTGGTAATCCGCTTTATTTTGCCGTTTTAGCCGTTCCTTTTTATATTATTCCTAATAGTATCTCTACGGAACGGAACATTATATTACAGTTATCGAAAAATAAGATAACATTATGGCGATACACGAGTAGGTAATGCGATTTCACATTAGGACCCTGCATTAATAACATTTATAATAACAACAATAATTATAATAGTGGAGCAATTTTTAAAGAAAAAAAAATGTTAAATTCTGTATCTTATGATTTATGACGGTATTTATATATAATACACTCCTTTTGATACAAAATAAAACTTTTGTCTCTGTAAAAATAAATTGTTATATTAAAAAAAAAAACCGTTTATAAAATTCCTAGAAATAAGTAAAGATGATTTCGCAAAATATATTATTTTAGAGTTGTGCCTTTTTTTGCAATGTTGTTTTTATATTAAAACTTTAAAAACCTGTTTATTTATCAAAGATATTTCTCTTGTTTTTTTAGGCAAACGAGAATAATAATTGAAAACTTATAAGACTCAAATGGCTACTACGTTTAAACTTATTTTCTTAGAAAAATTACACTGATTGTGTAAACATTTTACTTCCATTGCCCCCACTTAAAAATAAAAAATAAAAATGTATAGAACAATTTATTTATCGAATGATAAATATTTTACAGTTCCTGCCTTAAAACCCCGTAATGTAGGGGAATATTGGAATGATAATCATATTATTTTTCATAATTTTATTTTATAGCAAATTCCATTAATTATTTTGTTTTGGTTCTTAACTCAAACTATTTCATAACCTTGACTTTACAAAACACTAAGGAACTAAGTAATTTACGCATAAAATTCAAATCTACCAATTTTCAACTTACGACTAATGAAGCTACAAGTAAAGACACTCTTACGATAATAAAAAAAAATTAGTCTATGACATTTTTTTATTTCTTTATCACATAATCAGTCAGATTCTGCTGGTAACACAACATACGAGTAATACATCAAACACTGTGACCATTTCATTTGTTTTTCATTCGACAAATATCGAGAAAAAAAATGAAAATTCAGCACAGTGAAAACAATTCTATCAGCATTATTTAAATGAACCCCACATACAAAACTATCTCATCTTCCCCTACAAAATAAATATTTTATTTTAACAAATTATATTCATCATCATCGTGTACAGGCCTAACGCTTGAAAGCCCAACGCTGTCATAATAAGATGGCTTCTTGATAGATAATGTTACATTTTTGATTTAGTAAAATTCATATTTTTTAACGATAATTGATTTTTGTTTGCTCTTTCCATTATCAATTATAATAATTGTTAGCAATATTATTTTTTCATAATTTTCGGCAAAAAGAAATTCAATATTCGTTATGAAAGTGTTGTATTTGATTAACTTTTGAAGTCCCGGAATTTTTTATTTGCTCGAAAGATTAAATACAAAATAAAATGCTTCGCCCAAACTTTTTTAAACACCCCTGGGAACGTCGGCTTGTACCAGGTATAACTTAGTCTGCTTTGCAACAAAAAGTAATTTGCACTTCCGGTGAACGTCAAATGGCAGAGGAAGTACAGTTTAGCCGGAGTTTCGCTCCAGTAAATTTCTCACAGTTTAAAATCATATTATTATATTATTTTGCACGGTTCAAACTTATCTCACTCGTTGTGTGCGTATGTCATGTAGCGTTGTCGCGTCACTTCCATTATAATAGTTTTATATTGCATGGCCAGCCACCATTGTTTTTAATAACAACCGTTGTACGCCATCAGAATAAAAAATGCAAATACATTCCACCCTCGACAGTTTGCCCTACCAATATTGTATGTGTCCATTGTGCCAATACCAGGACTCAACCGCCACAATACAGTTCATCGGTAAACAAGCAAAATAATTACTCGTTAAGTAAGATAATTAACACTCGCATTTCGCATTTTGGATACAATATGTAGGCAATTAATCAAAGTTTGCGTTTGAATGACGAAGAAAATGCATTGAAGATGGGCTTTCAAGTAAAACGTATTGTACTTGTCTCTCAAAAGCCTGCACTTACCGTACTTTCAACACCATGAATGACTTCTGGTTAAGTTTAGTGGCATTGTTTTCGATTCTTGATAAAACTTTCTTGTTTACAACACTGTTAAATTAATCGAATTAATAGTAACTATAATACACAGATAAGAGATAACTGATGCGATAAGAAAATAACAACTGATAAGGAGTGTGACAACAACTGTGGAACTGATAACAAAGGTTTTGGCGGTAAAAGCGTAGATATTGAATCCATGAATGGGTAAATAGAAACTCGTTCGAAAATTTGTTTATATTAACTTTGAGGTTATATTGAGGGTGTGATCTTAATCTAAAATATACTTAATGTCAAAAAGATAACCCACTCAAGAGTTTACTATACATACTCAGTTATGCATTCGGTGAATTAAATGTTTGGTCGGAATGTTTTAGTCGAACGAGTTATTTTAATAATATATTGTAATATTTCTTGCTCTCGGTGTGCATAATAACAGTTGTAATAACGAGTAAATATCATTTCTACTTAATCAAAATTTCAATTAATACCGACGACCGGCTTTATGGGTTTTGTACGTTTATACAGGGCAGATTAATAAAATTGAATTAAATTTAGAGTCTCGAATATTTGGCATTAGTGTTATATAAGTTTGGTTATTTTGTGTAATACAAACATGCACAATATGGATAGTCGGTGGCAGTGATGGAAGGTTGTCCATCTATCATCTTCTCTCTCTTTCTCTGTTGCTCCTTTTTTTTTCTTTCATCGAACCAAAAGTTTTTTCGTGTTTAATAATACTTGGGTTCAAAATTTCACGACAAAAGGCCAAACATTTTCCATAAAAAAAAAACAACGGTTAGGTAGGTTTAGTATAATATGTGTATTGTTTTTATAAAATTATTCGCCAAGAATGAAAATAGTAAAAATCTACACACGGTTTCTGTTGAGCAGTCTGTGTACTTGTTTGCTAGCCGTATTACTTCGCAGATACAAACTTGTAATGTGATGTCAACCACAAGTTTTAAGGGGAGTAAATAAAAATGCAATTATTATGCAATCACCTCTCTATGTCTGTCAGCGACGTTGATTTTACATATAAGAATTCATTATATTATTCATAGATTCTGTGCCACAATAGTATGTAAAATATTATACCGATGTCATATTTATTTATTTATAATTTATGTTTTACACTAAAAATAGAACATCATTTCAATGTTATTGCATATTTAATACAGTTTTATAGCACGATTAATTAATTTATTATTGCTGTTGCAAATGTAGAAGTGATTTAACTTGTTTTCTTTCGAACAGAGAGAGTAATTATTTTTAAATACATTTCTCCAGATAAAAACAATATCATACCTACAAATGGAGTGGGCCATCAAAATTATTTTTCAACATTTGATTATATTTTACAATATTTCTTTTCTTTTTACACATCTACATCAGTCCATGTGTTTATCTATAAGTTATTACATTTCTTCGTTTGTTAATCGATCGACATCTAAATTTTTTAATCAGAGAGTGTCAGTCACACAATTTGATCATTATCTTATGTATAAAGTCATGTTAGGTGTCATAAGTCATTGAAAGGTGACTTTCTCATAACCTAGGGAATGACATAATATATTATACATATTCAATGTCATCGCTTTTGTAAATCATGTGCATGTCTTCAGATGATCTGTATAATTATTTTAGTTCATAGTATAATTAATTTTCAAATGTAAACACTCCTAACGGCCAATTCGGCTAGAATCGTTGATATATCTTCCGGTCTTCGATTTCATGACACACTATTGTATTTGAAATTTTGTCTATACAATTATAATTATTTATTATTGGTTAGTTATCTCAACCGTCCTTGCTGTAATTTTCCATATAATACGATATTTAATATTATTAATCTATGTGTATTGATTAATATGCATTAATTCATAAAGCGTTTCTAATACTTTTAGTTCAGTGCAATTTTGCCGGTTAGGTACGTTTATAAAGCTATGATGCAATTTGTGTACTTGGAGTTTTAATGTAAGAAAAATCTTTGGGTAATATGTGTTTTAAAATAACACTTCTTGTGTACTTACACCGACAAGTGCGTAAACATATTACATAGTAGATACATAGTACAGAACGACACCCGTGAAGACCGACCCGCAGTGTTTATTCTTTTGTACAGCCGCTGGTCAATATTTAACTTTGGCAACGACAGATTTTTAATTCATGCAAGGCGCGACAAAATGTACATACTTTTTAAAAAGTATCTGCGTAAATGGGTTCAACGTCATTTGTGTATTATTCAATAACAAACATTTTAAGTAACGCGTTCTGAGAAATCATACCTATAAGAGTAAAATCTCTTATTTAACAAATAGCCTAAAACATAAGTGAAAATCTTAAAATAATTATTGTTGTTTTTCAGGTTTTTAATTAACCACTTATAACAAGGCAGTACCTACAACAAAATCAGACTTTTTTTTGTAAACAAAATACAAAGTTAATCAATCTTTTAAATTTGCTTCTTGTTTTTCGTATTTAGAATCTAGTATTAAAATATTATCTTCTCTAGCCCGTCTAGGGTTTTTTTAATCGATTCCAAAGTTATAAAAAACACCTTTTTGTGATATTTTAGATTCGTAGCAAAACACTTATTTAATTTTTTTTTTCTAGATTAGTTTTCTTTTGTTAATTTAAAAGTAGTCCCAGAATTCAGCTGACACTTTTTTATTTTTTTTTGATGATCTATGACTAAGATTGAAATAATAATACATCGTTTTTTTTACAACATGCTTTTTCCATCGTTTATTGGAAAAACAATATTACTTGTGAATTTATTTTTTTAATTTTTTGACATTGACAATTTTTTTTTTCTAAATGACGTTTCTCATATTTGAAGCCCTTGCCGACAACGATTCGTCCGAGATAAATGTAATTAATAATCATAACTCATTCATATATTTGTTTCCAGCAGATCCGCCGTTTGCAAGTGTCCGTCACGTGACCCCTCAATGTGCTTTTGATGAATCGACCAAAGAGGAAACGAGGTGCTACCGCAGATTAATGACGTCCTAGACGTCAAAAGGGTTTGGTTTATTTCCGCCACCACTTCGATGTGTCCTTGACGTTTTTTTGGCAGCAGTGTCGACGTCGGTGATATTTCTCGCTAAGGTTAGTTTTATGGACTTGTATTTTTCTCTATCAGATTTTCCCGAAAATACTCTGAACTTGTTATGATGTGGTATTTTTATTCACATCACAGCATATATATATATATATATATATGAGCTATGCAAAGGTATTATTATAATATAGCCACGTATAGACGCCACACGGAACACCATCGCAGTATAATAATAATAATAATATGGAAAAGCTATACTAGAAAATCGCACAGGGTAATTCTATCATTTGTCAAACGGTCTTACCACGCCAAACCAACAACGCGCATTTTCCTTTTTTGGATATGTCTCCCAAATAATCCAGTACTGTTGCGTACGTCAACTGCACACACCACTCGAGTCGGTGCACGGTATAGGGATGGGACATACAAAATTTGTATTTTCAATAAACCATACCGATATGTATAACCTAATATTTTTAAATAATAAAAATGTGCAACATTAACTAAAAGACGTCCGAATAGAAAATATGTGTTTAACACAAATTATAATAAAAAATAACGCGTTACTAAACATTTATTGATTTTCTTCGAATTTGGGTTTTAAACAAATATGTTCGACGAATAGTTTTAATTGTTAAATATTATTATTTTTTACAACTAAAATGACTAGAAAAACTTTTTTGTTTTTGTAAACCCACGGATTTCCGTGTAACCATTCTTAAGGCCTAGTGTGTTTGAGTAAATTGGAAATAGCTTTTATTTTTGCTAACTAACAAGTACTTACTTTTTTTTATGGTTAATAAATTATTTTTTAGAAGCCAATCGCGACTTTCCTTCAGAAATTCCACGTGAACAACACCAACAAGTTTAAGTTTTAGTTTTTGCAAATTTGTTTTTCGAATTGACTTAAACGAAGTTTTTTTATATTCTTGATAAGCGGAAGCCGGAAACGCCATTTTGTTAACTCGTTTTGCGAAAGGAAACCGGTGGGTGGGAGGGGCAGGGAGGTTTAACTTGAACAAAACAAACTGCATTGAGTACGCGTACAAATGGTCTGAACAAATGTCAGGTACTTTAATTTGAAATTGAATACCAGATACACATTTTTATCTTATTGCGCGCATTCGGGTAAACACTCCAAATGACGGTGTCACTGAAATTGACGTTGAAGAGTTTTTTTTTTGGACAAAGAGCTAATAAACGAATGTTAGTCGAGTCACCTGTAGACGTTGTAATTAAATTGTTATGTCGCTGATTCTTGATGCTGTGAACTATGATAAACAAAATGGATTGTTTAAAAGCGGAATAAGTGAAATACCGGCAAACAAGACTAGAAAATCCGTTAGAAAATTTAATCTCGTGATAAACGTCAGGGAAGTAGTTATTGCGTAGGACTTGCTTGGGTTGAAAATTCCAAGATAGTTATTTACATGTGCCTGTTATATAATATTGCATACGGCGCAAACAAATCTGTATAAAATATCGACAAAAGGTATACGAAAACACTTTCTTTTGGGCTAGCAGTTTTATATTTAAAAAACAGTACACAGAATGTTGTAAGAAATGTTTTTTTCGTTTAACAAACGGTTATAATTAATTTCTAACAACGTTTATAAGGTCTATATGTATAAATATTTTGAAAAGTGTCTGTTAATAAAATACAAAACAATATTTTGGTGGAGAACGTACCTATTCCTTAAAAACATTTTGATAAAATTGGTTTAATTTTTTTTCACTTTAGGTATACAAATACAAATAATTGAAAACGTTCATGTTTATGCAATGTTGTGAGTTCAATATTTGTTCTTAATAATTTGAAAGTAGTTAAAATACATTTAAATTTCCAAATAATTGCTGCGGAGAAGGTAAATGATGATTATTATTATAATTGATAATATTATATCATACAAATTCAGTTAAACCCGTATAAACGTTCAAATAACTCTTTAAGAGGTTAGGATTATTTATTATGATTTAGATTATTGTTGATCTTTTGAGGTATACAAAATGTATAAAGAGATTAGCCAGAGTAAGCTATTCTACTGTATAACAACACAATGAACGTAAATTTGTATATAGTATATTCTAAGGTGTTCTACTGTAGAATCTATGATAATACCACAGCACAGCTGTTGTGCTATTACAATTCAGACGCTAATAATTAACAAAATTAATAATTATTTTAGACGAAACAAGGTTATTTTTAAAACTAAAAATATCCGCTATGATTCGAGTACCTACCCGAAGTGCGGCATTAACAATTCGGGTGAGAAGATGAAGTAAATACATGCCGGCGTTTTAACACCACTAAAGCATATTTTCGCACAAGAAGCTTCGACTATATTATTCAAAAAGAGGTATTACATTGCTGCGGCGGCTTTCTTAATGTACCTCCCGGAGAGTGCTCAAATATGCGATCGTACTTACATTCAACAAGCGTTCAAATGAATTTTATCTCTTTTCCAAATATTTCATTGCACAAATCAACGGAAACAACTCTCAAAGTCATATACACGAGAATATTTCACTTGAAATCAGCATCACAGGCAAAAAAGCAGACGCCATACGTCGCTTCCGGTTATAAAGAATGCATATATATATATATATATATATATATATATATATATATAGATTTATTATTATTGTGCTCTCGGTATTACATAGGAGTCCAAAAACGGAGTTGAAACTTCTTTTGTAGCAGCAGCAGCAGCCAGCACATGTCGCCACACAATCGTTGGAACAACAAAGGCCGAACGTCGAGTGAGCGCGGCAGCTATACAAATAAAGATCAAGTAAAGATAACAATAAATACAAGTTCATAGTAAAACTCAATTTTACGCTTTACAAAGAATATCATATAAAAATATTAGTGCTAGCTCTACCTGCAGAGTTGGGCATTATTTAGATAAAAAATTATCTAAATAATTATTTAAATAATTGTTTTATTCGAATAAATCATCTTAGCTTTTATGGAATAAAAAAATTATTCGAATAAATGAGTTATTATTCGTTATTCGAATAAAAAATTGCAATTCTGACTAGCCGATGTAGTCGAAGTACTTCAGTATTTGAAATCAAATTATTAAACTCGCATAAAAAAAAATCTATTAAATAGGTATATATTATTTTACTCATTTACACATTTTAGGCCGAAGCTATAGGATGAAAAAAGGTAAATAAATAGATGCATGAGTGGATAAAAAACAAAACAATATTAATATTTTGAAGAAGTCATTTTATTTAACATTTCAAAATAACACACTTTCATTGCAAAACTTATTATTTGTACAGTTGTGATATTTTTTACGAATATAGGAGATATAATGTTTATATTTAATTAAGATTATCCATTTTAAAACTTTAACGTCTACGACGAAATAAAATGAAAAACACTGATTTTGAATATAATAATTAGTAAACTAAAAATATCTGTAGTTAGTTTAAAATAAAATCTTAAAATAATATTTCTTAATAAAAAAAAAATTGACAAATGTTTCAATTACATTGGTGCATTAAATTATCATTTCTCGTTATAGAATTGATAACGTTGACTTTTTAAATTTTGTAACTAAGAAATGCCATTTAAATCATATCTATATCTTGTACTGGATTTTCAGAATTAAAAAACATTTGAATACGACGGTTATTATCACTGATAAACTTCATGAACGACTGATATAATTTAAAATCAAACGAATCTCCAAAAACGTCATTATGGGCATGAATAATCATGTTTGCTTTATTTAAATCCCATTTAATGAGGTGTTCCGACAGCATAATAAAATCTAAGGGTGGGATGTTTAATAACGTAGTAATGCGCGTTAGTTCATTTTGGATTTTTTCAATAACACTTTGTCTGATGTGTTTATCACGTATAGAACGATTTTTTAAGATAGTATTAAGATCATTGACGATATCGTCGTCTTTTAAGTCAAACGTTTTAAGGAACTTTAATAATATCGATTGAAACTTTTCTATGTAAATATTGACGTTTTTTTCTATGTCTTCGAGTGTGTTATCTCTTTTAGACATGTTTTTAATTGGGTTAATATTATCGTTTATTATATGATTTAGTTCAGTCGTGAATTCCCAAGTGTTCTGTAATAATACGAATCTAAATATGCCAATAATCATAAAATTAAGTTTCCCGAACAAAAGTAATCCTTTTAAACCAATATTTTTGGGAAAATCCAAGTAAGGCTTCATTGATCGAATCAAATTTTTCCATATATCTTCATTCAAAAACGTACGGGAATATGTTCTAAATTTGATTTCAAAACTTATATATTTCTCGCCGAGTGTTTCCCTTAAGTAAGCTTCAGATACATTCATGTTGAAATAACTATAAAGACCTTTTTTCCGGTTGTCCTTATCAAATTGGTTTAACATTTTTTTATTTTCAGTTATTATCCTACTTGTGCCCGAAGTAGAGTATACATGGTTTTTGAATACATAAACATCATCTACGACAAGTTGTAACTTACCGGGCTTCATGTCGAAAATATTGCCATCGCTGCAATTTTTTTCAAAGTAAGTGTCGAGTTCGGCAAGCACAAAATTATTCTGCTCCACAACTTTCTGCACGACAGGAAGACTCCACTGTGTTTTTGACTGTAGACAGTAGTTATCCATGGTAAATGCGTGAGTGTAAACCAACCATATTTCGTTCATTTGCATTTCTTTTACATCGATCAAAGAACTAACCATTTTCACGGTTTCAGCTAAGAATGAAATCAAATCGCAATTTATTAAAGCCGAGTCGTTTGCTTGGTACAGTTTGTCGACTATTGAAAAATGTAAATGTGCGCTGAACAGATTACCGCATTTCAGTTGGTTCAATTTTGAAATTATCAGATTACTAAGTTCTCCATTGGACAAATTAGCGAATTCTGTTGTCAACTCGTCGTCCTGCGTATTATACCCATCGTTAAATGAACTTACTTGTTTCTGTTGTCTTACTAGTTTTTCATGTTCGGTTGGATCTGCCCACACGAGTGACGTAAGTTGGAATACAAACATTAATAATATCACATAATATTTCGCGAAA